GGCTGTATTTTACCATAGTAAAGTGGATCACCAAGTGACTGCAAAATGGTCAGCTTTGTTTTCTGATACTGATTACCAGCTTCACATTCAAACACATAATCATCTTTTATATCCTGAAAAAGAATATTCCAAATAAATACCTTCTCCAGTAAATACATAACCAGAAACAAATGACAAAGTAACATATCTGACAATTAGAAGACTCATGGAACATAGTCTATAGGCCTATTTGAGAGTGCCTAAGACAATGAAGCCAGGATTATTTTTTTACACAGTACTTTGCGAATGAGAGCTCCAAAGGGCTATCTAGTTAACAGAGCCTGAGTAAAACGTCAAAATTTCATATAATGGAGATATGAATGCAAATACGAAATATTAAGAGGCTAAAACTTTCAAAACCAAACCTGTTTCTACTTATCATCAGTCTTCTTGCTATTGCAAATATAAAAACATGTGTCATCATTGCACTCCTAGATTCATCTAATCAAGTATGCCTATTTCTCCCTTTAAGAAATTATAATTGCTATTAGGGAAACGTACACAAAACATTTGATATCCTTACAGTAACTTACTAATTACTAACTTGAAACAGAAAACAAGTCAGAACTACCAATATGTGACCAAAACAAGAGTAAAAATGCAGTTATGCATTAAAAATGTCCTTTAGAATGGAAACCATACTTCTTGAAAAAAAATTAAAGTTTGTCCATTTTTTAATTCAGTGAACTCCCAGAAAGTTCTTTAAAAAAAAATCCCAAAGTAAAGGCTACTATACTTTAAATTTAATAAATTCAGATCCCAGATTAGAAACAGCATTAGAAACGGAGATCGCAATGGTTACTTACATGGGCTGGCCAGACTGTTGGTTGTGAGTCATCAGATTTGATAGACTTTTCCACTTTGGCGTATTTTTCCACCTAAGCAATCAAATCAAGAGACAGCAGATATAATGGAATCAGTATTATGACTAAACAGAAAAACCTAAGTAACTTAGTAACTAACCAATTCTAAAGAGTTGAGTGTATAATAAAAACAAGAGAAAGAAATAGGAAAAGAAATACGGGACCTCCCATCAAAAGACCTTTTTCCTGTCTTTGCTCATTTACTGCTGATGTGTATCATGGATCAGCAAAGAATACGACTCAAGGTTCCTCATCTTGGCCAATGCTCCAATATTACTAATTTTTAAATTTAACCAGTGAGGAAAGAAGCATTATCAGGAAATTATGATGAAATATTATGGAAAAAAATCAGACGCATTTTATGCATATTATGTAACATGTACCATCTTTTTCATTATTTTAAAATTCTTTACTTATTATTCCAGCTCTAAACACAGACCTACAATAAGGAGTTATATTTTTAGACAAATTAATGTGAAAGAAGAATGGAGCTTCTGAAAGTAAGCAGTTGATTTATCTTTGCACAGATACGGAGAACAAACTAGTAGTTACCAGGGGAGGGGAAAAGGGGAGGAGCAGTATAGGGGTGAACAGAAGACAAAAGGGTTATTACAGGATTGTATGAAATCATGTGTGTGCAACTTTTCAAAATTATAAAGCACTGTAGAATTTAAAGAATCTTTTAGTCAATAAAACAATGAATAAGTAAATAAATAAAATTTTTAAAACGTAAGAGTCTTTGTTTTCCCTAAGTATAAGCTACTATTAGTGAAACTTAGAAATCTTATATGAAACTAAGTGCAATTCAAGAACTGACTTACGTCCACTTCAGAAGGTATGGCCAAATTACAGGGACTCCGTTTCCACATATCTACACACTAAAAAATTAAAAAGAATATAAATAAATATACTGAAAATTCAAAATAAGGCAAAGCATTTGGCATAATAATCAGGTTCACTTAAAAATATATACTTACATTTCCTGCTTTAGAAATTTTGAGGTCATAATGCTGACCTGCTTTTCTTTCCTTCCTTTTTTGTAAGAAATCAAGTAATTTTAGCTGAGGAGGAGGCGGACAATTAGACAGATCCTGCTGCCGATTCAGAGAGGATCTGGAATACCTCTTGAAACACCTGAAATATTAAGAGACCAGAACTAAATAAAGCTAATAAAGGGAAACTGAATAAATATGGGTTTTAAATAGTAAGTGTTAAATATGAAGTTAAACCACAAAGATTTGTAGAACACTGTCACTTGCCAACCAATATCCTAGGCACTGCTGAAATAAAAATGAGTAAGAAAAACAAAATTCCTGCTACCATGGAGTTGACAGTCCAGAACAGAAGACAGACATTCACCAGTAAACAGGTCAGATCATTCCAGATAACAAGGAGCACTAGGAGAAAAGAACAAAGTACTGCGGTGGACAAGTGATAGAAAGGGCAATGTTAGGGAAGAGAGAGGAAGGGAAGAACTCCAAAGAAATGATTTGTGAGCGGAGACATGACAAGAGGAAATGAGCTACAGAAAGATCAGAGAGTGAGTATTTGATGCAGAGAGAATTTAAAAAGGTACAGAAGCAGCAATGAAGTTGGTTTGTTTTAAAACAGAAAATGTAGGTGTGACTAGAGCACCAGGGTCCATCCAGTGGGAGGTGAGGTCAGAGGGCGAGGCAAGGGCCTTGCAGATGAATGATATGTTTGGACTGAATGTGAAGTACAATAGTGCTTTAGAGGAGTTTAAGCAAGTGGTGGCATGATCTGCTTTGAGGTTTTTAAAACATTACTCTGCTTTGCTTACATGCCGAACAGGCCAGAAGGGAGCAAAGGCGAAGTAGGAAGACCAGTTAGGAAGGAGTTTATTACAGATGTCAAGATGAAGATGACAGTGGCTTGGCTGAAGGTACTGGTGGTGAGCATGGAGAGTTGCGGACAGGAACACAGGAGACTTTATAGGACTGCTAATGGATCCTATATGGACTTATTTTACTATCTCCAAAACTGTACCTTTTCCTCAGCATTTATTAGTTCAACAGTGAACCAGGGAATATAGAAAATGGATAGGTTATTTGAGCCGCTTCAAACTTGAGGAAAATCCAAAGTGGGCAACTCAAACAATTATGCAAAGAGAACTTAATGATGAGTCAACCACAACTGCAGTCCAAATTAATATGCATTCTTTTACTTCATTAAGTAGAAAAGATAGCTAATACACTCAAAGACAAGTTACCATGTTATAAAAAGGCATTTAATTATAAACTGACTTCACAAACTGTATCATTTTTTCCTAAATCTCAAAAATATATTATGAATTATTTCTTTAAAGGTAATATTAATAAAAATTAAGGTGGCTACTGGGTACTAGGAAGTGATAAATTATTCTTTCTGCTCATACCTGTCTCATCTCAGAATTTCTTTCTGGTGAACAGACTCTGAACTTGTTTTTCCAAAGAATGTAGAGTGTGCATCATTTCAATATAAAGCAGAGTATACAAAAAATAATTCGAATTCTGATACAAAAAAGTATTAAAAGGCAACTTAAAAAAATTCAAGTTTAAAAAAAAAAATCAGAGCACTTTTCTACTTGAGAGGGAAAAGATCCCATAAACTGCAAAATTCAGAGCTAGCACTCTACGAGCACCTCTTGGCTTATCCTTCCACAAAGGCAGTTACCGTTTCATGGGGCGCGTGTTCATCTTCTGCTTGTTATAGAGCAGCCTGTTTGCAGTGCAGGTTACAGCTATAGAAGGATCAAGACACAGTGGTTCTGCCGTAGCCAGAATCAGCTGGCTCTCAAGCAAAAGTTTGTCTTCCTGAAATGTATAAAAGCATGTATCAAAATGAGATGTAAGATTTTCAAATCACATATATCACTTAATCTAGAACTATTCCTTGGAATATTTCTATTAAGGAGCACAGTAAAATAGCAATAGTATTTCAAGTTCTAATTTAAGTGTGTAAACTTTAGAAACTTGACAGCATAATGAGACTACTAACAGAAATTCAGTAATTTGTACAGTATACAAAATGGTCAAATTGCAAGAATGCCTATCCATTAACTCAACAAGTATTTACTAAGCCCTTAGTGTGTTAGGCACTGTCCTAGATGTCAGGGATAAATCAGTGAACAAGACAGATAAAATCCTCTGCTCCCACAAAGCTTGCAGGATCAAGATGGATGATAGCACTTTTGGTAACAGTCCCATTCTATACTCAGCTTAACTTTATTACAAGAACAAAAATGACTCCACTAATACTGTGTAAACTCTATACACCCAATTCCAAAGTTTATACAGGCTTTTTAATGGTATTATGTAACTTATTCTACTGAATCCTACTTTTTTTTAGCTTAAACTCTGAAATATTTTAATGGCTAGAAATAAATTTTTTACAAGTCAAATGAGTCGATTAATATACTGCTGAGTAGAATTTTTGCAAAAAAAAAAGCAGAAGAAATGCTGCTTCTTTCAATAGGTTTCTTCAACTTTTATTATGGAAATGTTCAAAAATACACAAAACAGAAATGTAATGACACCCATGTACCAATATCCAATTTCATTTAACAACCACTCCTCTAACTTCTTGTTTTTGTTTTCCTAGAGTAATTTTAAATACATCTCTGATGTATTATTTCATCTGAAAATCCTTCATCATGCACTACTAACTGATAAGGACCTCTAATACCCAGTCTGATGTTCAATTCCTATTATCTCTATTTTTAATGGGTTTGTTTGAATTTGAACTCAAACTAAGGCCTACACATTGTATTTGGTTTTAACCCCTCCTAAACACCTTAAAAAATTTTTTTGAAATGATCACCTCCTCCCCCATCTTTTTTCTTTTCTAATGCACTTGATTTGTTGATATTTGACCAACTATTTTCCCTTGGTATCGTTTAACTGGATCTGGCTGGTTGCTGCCTCATCCATATCATTTAATAGTTTCTCTTATTCATTGAATTACCTTTAAACTGTTAGTTACACAGAGGCTTGATTTAAATTAAAGTTCTATTTTGTTAGACAAGAGTTCTTTCTCATCCATCACACCAGAAGGCACACAATGACCAACTGCCCCACTTTTAGACCAGAGGGTTTAGTCAGATTATTGGTCTTCCACATCTAAGAAATATTACCACCAAGATTAAGATTTCCAAGCTGATGACATTATAGAAAGTCTATCATTCCTTTCACACCTATTAGCTGAAATTTTTCTAAAGAATTTTCCTTTAGTTACTATTTGGCTACCTAACGTACAGTTCACACAGAAAAGGCAGAATAAAGGTTACAGTCTCTTCTCTTATTTACCAATCTTCAGAGTAAGAAACTGATGCCTTAGGAACCTCCAACGGTGATCAATGAGTTTGTTTTTTAATATCCTTTTAATAGCATTTGATATTCTGGTAAACGATAAGACTACAGCCCAAACTACAACACAACACTTGATAGTTACTGATGAACTGAATCTTACTTTATAATCCTATTTCAGAGATAGAATAATTCTCATTATTGACATTTTCTTTGGTTTAGTAACTATTCCTCTCTATAGTAACAGGGAAGTGAACACTCTTGCGAGTGGGCACCGCATATATACTGAGCCAGCACTGAAGGATTAATTGGCTCTTGTCAGGATAAGAGAGGTCCGCTGGTGCTACAATCAGCATGGCCGGCAGAAAGATAGGCCAGGCCCACTTCAGAATCCTAGACGACAGAAAATCACTATCTATTTTTATCCATGGTGTGAAAAAAACATTCTGTTTGAGAGGGGATAAAAATCTAAGTTTCACATTGGGCAGATCAGGTCCTAAAGCAACTGGGACTGAACTGTTTCACTTTCTTGAAGGATTACTGCATCTTTGTAGAGACCCTTAACTTCTAAAGCTCATGACAGAATCCCAAACTTTACTCATAAATAAAATTATGAGCAGAGAATATATTCTGCTTAACTTAGTAAGTATTGTTTCACCCTGTATATTACCTGTTTCGGATTAAAAAACAGAACAACCAACCTGGGTCCATTTATGGTTATCACTTGTTATTGAATGTACATCACAGATTAAAGTCTAGAAGAAAAAAAATTAAAAACATTAATGTATAGGCATGCAAGCATATGAAGACATTTAATAAATAAAACCTGAAATAATACCTAATTAAACATTCCTTACCTGCATCGTTGGACGTAAGAGAATGTGCCTACTTTGGTAACCAGGAGATTTCATATTACTGGACTGCCTGTAGTCACGTATTTCTGCTATGACGCATCCACAATGAAAAATATTAACCTGTTTTGGGTGAAAATATTTAAGTAAATGTCATTTTTCAGAAGTCTCAACAAGTGGGTTTATACTGAATGCTCAGGTTTTTTATATTCTCCTCACACTGACCAATCACGTTATTAAACGGAATTCCTTAGTGGATTTACCACCACATAAACCCTTTTAAAGGAACTGTTTTATGTTTATCACTATGATTCAAGAAGCAGTGTAATGCTGTTTCCTAGTTACAGACTGACATTTGGCATTAATATACGATGAACGTTACAGGTCACTGGAATTGTTCTTCTTTCTGACGCTCAGTGGCTCACTGTTGTACTCTGCTAACTTTGTCACTGTTATAAATTGTCAATAACCACGCCAGAGTTTCAGCTTATGGACACATCTGCTTTATTGCTCTGCTAAAATTCCCAGAAGACAGCTTTTACTTATAAAAGGAAGAAAACTAACAAGGAAGAAAACTAACATTAATTCAAATAGTCTTCTGTTAAAGGTACTGTTTTTTAGTCCTAAGAACCTTTTACCACTCAAGTCTTGCTAATTATCACTTGCCACAGTTGCTTATGGTCCTGGTGTTTTTCACCCATTCAGAACTTCAAGTGGCTACCATGACCTCCAACTTATCAGCTGCTACTATACTCATGCTTTTTAACCAGTTTGTACTGAGCCACTGCAACATGAACTGTGTGCCACACACTATCCAAGAAGCTCCACAGATAAAGTGGTGAGGTACTTGCTCTCAGAGTGGGAAGACAGGCAATAAACATGTAACAAATAAACAAGATAATGTGAGATAATGAATGCTATAAAGGAAATAAAATAGGCAGGGGCCAATTTAGACTGTGTGCTCAGATAATAACTCTCTGAGGGAGTGATTTTCAGCTGAAATCTGAATCACAACAAAGGGCCAGACATCTGGACAGATGACTCCAGATAGAAAGAACAGCAGATGAGTAAGACAGGAATAAGCTCAGTGTGTTTTAGTATGGAAAGAAGGCATGGATAGCTGGAGTGCACTGAGTGCAGATGAGAGCCAGGAGGTGAAGACAAAGAGAAAGGCAGGGGTTCTGTATAGCAAGAGGACACTGGAGAACTTTAAGCAGGAGACTGCTTGGTTTTTGGTTTTTTTGTTTTTGTTTTGTAAGCTTAATCTGGTTGTTTGTGGAAAATTGATTTCTGGGGTTCTAGAATAAAAACAGGAAGCTCAGCAAGGTAACTATAGAAGGTCAAGACCATATATTCTGAAGGTACAGGTGACAGCTGCTGATGGACTGAATGTGGAAGGTGAGAGCAGAGTCATCCATTAGACTGGAAAGATTGGTAATGGAACTGGCTTGTGGGGTAAAAGTAAAAAGTTCTGTTCTGTTGTGGTAACTTTGAAGAACCTATTATATATCATAGTAAACACTCCAGGGCTTAGTTAAAATTAAAAAAAAAAGCTCTGGAGCTTAGTGGAATGGTCATTGAGTGAGATATAAGCAAGGAACAAGGAACCAAACGTCATTTTTTTAAACTCAGGAAGCTGTTTGAGACCATCTAGGGAGAGGTGTTACTAGAGTGCCCAGGACTGAACCCTGAACATATTTACAGGGGAACAGAGACGACAGCAAAAAAAGACTGAAAGAATAAGAGAAAAACCAGGAAGGTGATACTGAGAAGCTGAGACAAGAGTGTTTCAAAGACGAAGTAGTCATTTATACTGAACTTTGCTAAGAGACCAATTAAGATGACAACAGAAAAGGATTTTTTTAAAAAGTTGAGATGGTACAGTATACTTCTATTTTTTATCTAACAGAGAGAGGAAAATAAATAGAAGAGAGAAGGATTAAAGTTGTAAATCCTTGAGGAGGAGGAGAAGGATCCAGAATTCAAGTGGAGAGGATGCCTTAGGAACATCCATTTTGACAAGAAGGCAGGCAGAAAGTGTGGGCAGAGATGTGGGGATGCTAGGGGAAGTTCCTACCTGATGGCTTCTTTTTCCTCAGTAAAGGACCACAGTATGGCTGGGGTGAACCCAAGGGTGTAAGCAGTTTCTTCCGTAATTTCTATTTTCCTTAAAAAATTTTTTTATTGGGGGGGAGGTAATTAGGTTTATTTACCATATTTTAATGGAGATACTGGGGACTGAACCCAGGACCTCATGCATGCTAAGAATGTGCTCTACCACTGAGCTATACCCTCTCTCACCACAATTTCTTGATTGTAGCTATAGGGATATTTCCAGTGGATGAGCTAATTGTTACAGCAATTTTAGAAAAATCAACTAAATCTATATATACATTTCAGTACAGTTTAAAGGATAAATATCCCACAATAAACCAATTTTCATATAACTATGTGTAATATCTCATTTCATGTTCCAACCACTGTTGAGGACATAACTAAATATTCTTTATCATAAAACATACAGGTGGCAAATTAAGGACATTTTAGAGAGACAAATTTTGTACCTGAGATTTTTCCAGGAGGTCAACCAAAATAGGAGGTAATTCCTCTGCATCTAAGTATTCAAGCAATTCCCCTTCTTCATAAGGCAGTCGAATGGTCTCAGAATCTAAATTTCAAAACATAAAGTTTCTGAAAATGATAAAGCTCACCAAAAAGCTAGGTAATAACTTAAGTAACTTTTCATAAAAGGTGAAGAGAATAAAGCCAAAAGCTCTCCTGAAGTCCTTTATTTAAGTCTTATAAATAAATCACCTTATATACTGCTGAAAAGCTTGATCAACTATATACAATTTTGGACCAGAAAGGAGAAAAACACCTAACATATTATGGAAAAACATTTGGCACAACAATCACAATATAAATCACAGCCAGTTGCACAATAAACAGAATATGATAAAATTGTAACATCTGTTAACTAAAAGTTCCCTGAAGACTGCTTAATAAAATCTGGAAATTGGAATAGTAATTTGGCATTGCCTCTGAAAATATCACTTACAGAATATAATTCTCTCGCTGTTACATTTTACAATTAATAACCAATATAAGAAAAATTTCTTAACTAGGTTAAGTTCCTTGTAGAACCCATAATATCATCACTATCAAAACTTAAACTCCTCTTTAGTGAAATCTAAGAGTACTTAAATTTTAGAACTATTTTTATACTCACATTAGGAATAAAATGTTAATATATGAAAACTACTCAAAAGACAGTGAATCTGCTTAACTTTGAAAGCTTCAGACTCAAAATATATTCAAAATGCAGAAGAAAAACATACCTTAAAACACCTTATGCTATCTTAATATAGAAACACCAATAGAACAAAAGAAAATTTTGACAATTACTTTAAAATTATCTCTTTTATAATTTAACTTCAAAGACCTATTTCAATCATAAGACTTCTTAAATTCAGGAAATCTAATAACTTCTAATGTTCCAATAAAACATCAAGAAGAAGAAAATTTGGCATCAAAATCTTCTTTTATCAAGTCACAACTGATCTGAAGGACAGCTCATTTAGCAGGGTAAGAACCTGCTTCTCTAAAAGACAGCACGTTCTGCCAAGCGGAGAGATTTTCATGGCTGCTGCCCTCCGGAGGTTCTTACCTGATCCATTTTTCCCCCTGAGCATCAGAGAATATCCCTCATTTCCTGGGTATAGGTTGACCACTAAACATGACAATGTCTCTTGCATAACAAGCTTCTCTAACAAGTTCACATTTCTTCTTAATTTCTGCTTTAAAAAGAGGTAGAGCTCATGAAAATAATCCAGCATAAGTTTAATAAATAATGCAATCAACTTAACAAAACCAGATCTGAATTAATCTCTTGGTGCTCCTTCCATATCTATGTAAAGTTAATTCTGATCTATTACTATGTTTTATGCAGATGAATTATTATCAGAAAGAAAAACCAGTGACCTATAAAACAATAAAAATACTTAAATATAAAGTATGTACCTCTGAGCACACAAGTAGCAAATATTAGAAATATTTTAAAAGAAAAACTGTTAAACAAAAATTTTTTTTAAAACATGCTATTATGTATAATTAGTTTCTATTAAGAATAAATCTAGACAAATAAATAATTTGGGGCATTCTCTTTGGTTGTACTGCTACAAAGCACATTATTTAAATAGTTTATGGCCTAAATTAGATCCCAACAAGTTCAATAGCTCTAAGTAGCTGAAATGTTAAATCCCAAAACATCTAACTGGTAAGGGGACATGAACAATTTAAGTAATTTTCTGTAAATTCAATTTAACAGCTCCTTAGCAACCACTTTGCTAAAACAAAACAAAAATAAAAACACCCCAAAACAAAAAACTATCAGGAAACATAATACACATACATCAAAATCCGTTATTTTAGAAATGTGTGATTTGAAATGAAGCTCGCTTACAATTCCTTTCATCAAATCTTATTTGAGTACAAAAATAAGAAAAACTTATTTGTTAAAGATGTCAGTCAATAGAACATTTATTTTCACAGGATCCCAAAAAACAAATCTCTTTTGAGTATTTTATATTAAACATGTATATACACACAGTAATAAGCGGAAAGAAATCGTAAGTTCTTGATCTATTGTCAACATAAGATTAAAAGATTGCATTTTGAAAATTCAAAAAAAAAAGGCAAAGCAACTTTTAACTACTTTGATGGAAAGTCAGAAAACGTCTTTCTTAAAGGACCAGACAGTATTTTAGGCTAGTATATGGTCTGTGTTGCAAGTACTCAACTCTGCTATTTAATCTCAAAATTGGCCATGGACAAGACAAACTAAGGTGTGTGGCTGGATTCTAATAAAATTTCATTTACAAAAACATGTGGGCCTAATATGGCTGTTGGACAATGGTTGTCAACCCCAATTTAGAATCTTTACTTAGGTATCTCTCCTCCCTTAGCTACGTCTCTGAGGTAATTAATAGACATGTTCATTATACTGACTGTGCTGCCAGTTTATGGTTGTATACTGTGAAAGTTAATAAAAGGAAACCTCAACTAAAATTAAAGTGGAGAAGGCCTGTAGAGGGAGTTCTCATGTCCCACCACTCATCATGAATTACCCCAAACAGGAAGACATCAGTTACTGATACCAACAAGAAGAGAATTACCCTGCACACTCAAAGAGGAAATGCAACTACTTTACCTCCCCAACTGGGGAAAGGAAGACTTTCTTCTTATCCAGCAAGAGTGAATGGAAAAGGGCTGCAGCCCTGGCGATGGAAAACACCTGCAGCTCAGCCACTGAAAAGCTATCATCTCCTGAACTTTTACTTTCCTCCAATGAACTCATTTTTTTCCTTGCTGTTGACTTTCTTTCCCTGTCCTGCCCGCCTTATACTAAAAGCCTTCCATGTTATATATAACTCCTCAGAGTATCTCTGCCAGATGAGATGCTGCCTGATTCATGAGTCGTTTAATAAAGTCAATTAGATCTTCAAATTTACTGTTAAACTGTTTTTTTAACAATAAGTCAAAACTTATAAAATGTATACTTCAAACATGTGCAATTTATTGTATGTCAATTATACCTCAATAAAACTTATGGAAAACATACCATAAGACTTATTCAGTTTCACAATCATTTTTCTCCTAAAGATTTTAAAGGTTAGATACTACTGGAATTCCACTAATTTTCTGTCTAAGAGTTATTCATTTTAAAATTAAAGACTGACAACAGAAGCTAATTTGAGCCCTTTAAGGCCTTTACAACTGAGAGTCTAAAAGATATCAAGAAACCAATACATTGCTACTGCCCATACTTTCATGCTAAAAAAAAAATGAACTAGCCTGGCCATGAACAAATTTTCGTGACCAAATTCACCTTTTATTATCATTTTTCATTTCCTACATGTCCTTATAATAGTTGTTTAACTTTCTAGTTGATATCACCATGAGGAAATAGGTTACTCTTCTCCTGTCCTCAGTCTACAGATAACTTCGCAGGAGGAAAAAGTAACAGAAGAAAATGTATATGCTGGCTTTGCTTCTTCTGACTTCCCAATGAGACAATCTGTTACTCAGTAAACACAGTTCCTCTCTCCCCCCTAAGAAGGTGATCTCTGCCAGGTGACAGACTAGCCAGAGCTCTGGTTTAGCTGCAGAACTGGCTGGAGTCTGGTTAGAAAAAAATAATAGTTAACGCACAAAAATATAAATCTTTATCTGCTTCAAATCTAATTTCTTCAAATTCCCCTCTCCTACTACATTTCAAAAGCCGTAATAACATAAAAATTTATACTTACCTTAACCTCAGGCTCTTTTTCGCATTCTTCGATATACAAGTCATAAAGTTTTTGAAATATAGATTTTCTAAAATTTAATAACAGAGACAACAAACAACATAATGTGACTGTAACAATGATAAAATAAACATTATTTTGAATTTTCCTGTAATTTTTCCCCCAATTTCCCAAAAACGGGGTGAAGTGGGGCTGGATATGGTAGCTAACATCAACTGAGAAATTTCTAATACAGTTGAACCTTGTACAACTTGGGGGTTAACCCTCATATAACTTAGCTCTCTGTATCTACGGTTCCTCTGCATCCACAGTCAATCAACCACTGACCACGTAGTACTGTTGTGCTTACTACTGAAAAGCATTCGTGAATAATTGAACCCACACAGTTCAAACCCACGTTGTTCACGGGTCAACTGTACATGCAAAGTACCCAGAATACAAAATTTCTAGCCCAGTGTCTAGTAAGAATGAAATAAATGGTGGCTATCATATTTCAATGAATCAAAGATTTCAACAATTAATTAAGTATTCATACCTTCCACTAGATAGATATTTCCTTTTAGGAGGTCTCTGTCGGGCACTTTCAATGACATACTGAAAAAAAGAAAAGTTTAAGAAAACAGCTTGTCTCTTGTTTAGCACACGGACAACTGTTTTAAGTATATTTAAATCATGTGCAAGGCTAAAAAGGCTATTCAGTCACTCAAGTCTCTGATTTATATCAAATTATGCCTTGTAGGGAAACCTACTTAACTTCTAAATAAAATTTAGCACAATATTTACACGCTATAAGTAAAATCATACAGTTTTGCAATTGTGATTTTCATAGGTCAGAAATATTTGCAATGTTTTATGGCTGTTCAGAATATGCACAGCACATCCAGTTACAAGGACTCTATGTATCTGAGCTATTTTCCCCTTTAATTGAGCAATTAGAAAATTTGTTAAGACAGAAACTATAATTTTAGAAATTCTATGTCCTTGTTCAAACATTTATTTCACAGTATTATTCAATTTTTGTTCCACAGCATTATCATCTGAGCATTCCAAGTTAACAGATGATCCAAACATCATCTGGTATTTATATACATTTACAGCAAAATTTCCATGCTCATCCTAAAATAACATTACTGTTCTCCTTTGACAGTCACAAACAAAAATCTCTTAAAACTGAGCTTTGTTGATTAAAGACAACACTATTTCAATAAGTAACTTAGTCACGCCTCACCTCTGCACGATCCAAAGCTAGTTCTAAAGCTTGCTGCTGTAAAAAGTAAATAGTGTATTTGGTAATATTAGTTATTTTCACATAAAAAATGACGTAATACATAAAACATTCTAATTCAGTGTTTAAATGTGTTTTATTTCTAAAACAGGTCTAACATTTTTCTTTATTTCTCTCCTCCACCCACTCCATCATATGCTCAACATATATTACAAAGAAAAAATACAGCAGTCTCAGGCATTTGATTATGATGACAAATTAGATAAGAAATGCTACAATGATCTTCTCTGGCCATGCTTGTGCCACTGATACTGGGCCAAGGGTTGGAATTATGATAACTACTACCATTTTATAACTTCAACATTTAAGAGCACCATTCAGGAAAACACACTGGCCATCAGGAATACAATTAAAGTGAAGCAAAGACTAAACTCCCTTAATCTGCTATGAATCCTGAAAATCTGACAGGGGAGTGTCTGGCTGGCTGCTATGCTGGTACCTAATATCAACTTAGAAATTCCTATTATAATATAAAGAAAGTATAATACCATCTTTCTAGGTAAGGGCCTAGTAGAAATCAATAAATGATGGCTATCCTTACCATCTTTCAATGAATTTAAGATACCGTCAATTATATGCCTGAATTATTATTTTAGATAACATTAAGAAAGAAAAATGTGCTGCCAATTATAATTGTAAGATGTCACTGATTGCAGACACACTATCAATTCAGTAATTAAAATGTGAAAGCAAATGCATTTTAGAACTGATAAAAAACACAGTAGTATTATTATATGTACAATTTGAGATCTACTAGTAGGTCCCCATTTTTCACTCATTCATTTCTTAGAGACCCTTATTATAAGGCAAGAGAGAGAAGTAAGATTAACTCTATCTTCCTCATTTGGATAGCATTCTTTTGTAATGATACCTAAGAATAAAAAATACTAGCTATTTTAAAAAATTAAGCAAATACACCACCAATAATTTTTCTTTCTAGTTTTGTGGTTTGGGTATCACACAGAGTTATATTTTTCACTTATAATGACAGTCATTTGTAATTTCATTGAGAGGCACAGAACTTTCATTTTTTATTTACAAGAACCTACATGTTTCTGTTTTAATTTGCAGACTCTAATAATTCAATCTACCAAGTTGCATGGAGTAAAATTCCTGACACCCACCAAAATCCCAGGAAGGTACGGGGAAGAGTATCAAACATCTAAATGCAGTAAGTAAAAAAAAAGTCTGAAATATGCCATTTTTTAAAAGGTTGTTAAAATGAATTTGTACCAATTTAATTTATTAAAAAATCTTATGGGCAGATTCCCAATGAAACTAGTTCCCAGGATTCAAGATGAGATTCTTGAGTATAAACTATTTTCCAGCACAAAAACATAACTTTGCATATATACTCTTGGCAAACACACAAGGGTTTTAATTATTTTGCCCATAAAGCCTTAAAGTAAGTTTTATCAAAAAATTATAAAAAATAAATGTAATAAATGATATACATTTATGCAATCAAATGTATACACTAGGACAATTCCAAACAGCCAGCCTTCTCAAGAAAATATTTCATCTTCTGAAATCAAAATTTTAAAAGGTCTAGTGAGATGTACTTGCATACATAAAACACTAGCATCATTTATTCACCGTTGCGTTCAAATACTCAAGAGGGAAGTGCTTAGCCAATATAAAGGCAAAATAAAAGGCAGAGGTCAGAACCCAACTGTGACAACTCCACTGTTCTCTAATAGGGCAAGGGTAGACAGGCAAGATCCCAAGAAAAGATTTCTGAGGTTTAGTCAACATGGTGGTTGGTATTTGTTTATTCTCTCACTGTCAAATACTGTTGAATCTTTAGAATACCAGAAAGTGATTTTTTTTCCTCCTTTGTCTTTAATTCTTAAATGGCAAAAGTTAACTGCACAGCCCTAAGCGTGCTTAGTGACTGTATGTGGTGAGCAGACATGTGCCATTAGAAGGCTAACATTAATGCTGCTTAAATGCTTAAATATTATTTGCAGTAAGCAGGTTACATTTGTTTAAAAATTTTTTAAAAATCTAAATTAAGAGAACTTTAAAATACCTGTGAGAAATCTGTGGCCCCCAAAACTATATTTATACCCATCCTTCTTGCCAATGTTTTGGACTATGGTAAAGTAGGCATTAGTAATTATTTTTTAATACTTCAGAAAAATAAGGACAGATACATTATCTGTGTAACCTGGATATAATGTAGCACTGAATTAAGAGATGAGCGCTCTATTTTGTAAAGATATTGTATGTGATTGCTAAGTAATCTCCCAGTTAGGGTAACTTGGGGAGCTTACAAGAATATTTCTGTATCATACAGATATTTTCATCTAAATGAAGGAAAAGAACAGTCTAACAACAGATACTAACATACTTTGCTGCAGCTTACCATTGTGGTATGAAATAGGGGTCCAAAAAGGAGAAAACTTATGGGTGTTGATGAAGTGGGGTGAAAATCATATCTTTAGAAATCAATCTTAGAGTACTGTAAAAGCAAAAACAACAAAACCTCTATTTTAACATAAATCTATTAAGAGAGATGAAATTGCTTAGTAACTGACAAGGAAAACTATTTCAGACACATTTCTAACACCATTTTAAAAATAACAATAAAATTTACATATCACAATTTATTCACTCATTAAAAAGTACAGTTTTAACTAGGTATGGCAAAATACAGTTTGCAAGTTAAAATCATTATTCAGTTTCTTAAAAATATTTAACATCCAGGAGAGAAAATAATGTTTTTTATTTCTTCTGTTATCACAGTTGTTGCTCTCATTGTTACTCTGGATTATTTCAACAGCCTGTCCCGTGGCCTTGGTTACTATACAGGTCACTTTACAAATCATACATTTCATCATACCTGCTGATAGAAGTCCTCTAATAGTCCTCCAAATGCCCCAGGCTACATTTTCCAAGGCAGCTTCAGTCTTTCCAACCTTTCCCCTCCTCAAGCAAACAAGAAACACTCCTCTAACACACAAGTTCTCATCCAAGCTGCACCACAGAGTAGCCTTGGGAACCTTTAAAAAGTGGGATCCACCCTCCAGAGATTGATTAACTGGTCTGGAGTAGGGCCCAGGGATCAGCATTTTTGGAGATCCCTAGATGATTCTAAGGTGCTGCCAAGTTGAAGTCCACTGCTATATCCTCTCTGCCTCCCAGAGGTGGTATATGTTTGCTGAGAGTGATGCTAAATAAAACTTATTTTTAATCAAATTCTTTACCTAACTCCTTGTAACCACCCGTGTGTCTATACACAGCTGAGCACATCTTTAAGTGACAGAAAACAGTATTTTCCGTGTAAAATTGTTTTCGTTTATTTTCGGCGAGCCCAAAGCTTCAATTTTGCCAGTTCAGGTTTGAAAAAAAAGGGGGGGGAGGTGGTGGAGAAAACAGGAAAAAAACCCACAAACCACCAAAAATGACGAATGATCATTTAAAAAATGGATAGGACATTCATCCTACTCTAGAAGAGTTCGTGGGAGATTTGAAGTGAATTTAAGTAGAGGTGAAATTTTTCTGACCACTATGAAAGATGAGGATACACTAGGTACAGACAAAATGTAATCACTTTAAAATTAGATCTCTTGCCACTAAATTGCAGGGGATGGGGAGAGGAAGGCTTAGTGACTTTAAGTACTACAAAACCCAACGTATACCACTTACAAACCAAACATTCTGAATGTATACAGAATTTATTAGAATCCTGTGAGAAAACCTTTGTAATTATCGTCTCCATTTTACAGAATGATGCTCTCTTAACAAGTGACTTTCCCAAGATCACACAACTAGGCCAGAATTCAGACCTCTCAATTTTTCACCTTAAGATTCTACTAAATCTTACAACCTTCAGACTACTCAATTCAGCATCCGTTTTTAGAATCTCAAAAGCAAAGCATTTAAAGTAAGGACCCGATTCTGCTTAGACTAATAAAGTTTTTCCTTAATTTTGATCTAATTTTACATCATGGTTATCACGCATCGTACACCGCACTCAACCTGCCTCCGAAAATCACGCTAATAATGTTTTCTATTTTGAGTCTGCCAGGGACTTGAATGTACTGTACTCAGAAAATGCAGCCCCGCCCCTGCGGTGGACATCAGAGACGGCTTCCAGGGGCAGCTATTCGCCAAGTTCATTTCTGAAATCCTAGGAACCACGGCGAGTACCAGTAACCAACCCGATTTTAAACGTCGCCATCAATCGCACTGATTTCCCTGACCGACTGAGTTCCAACTGCTCAAGCTTTCGTTAAGAACTTCGGCTTTACCTGAAAAACGCCCAACCGCACGGCGGAGCGACCAGCCTTTATTCAATATGGACACCGAGAAACCCGCCCCAGCAGAAGCGCTACGCGAAATTTTGCGAGTTACCGGAAATACCTGTAACTGGAACCCTAAAGTCAAAGCTAAAATGAGAAGCCTGCCTTGGCAGCACAGCGAGACGCAACGGAGGCGACCGCAGGGAGGGAGCTGGCTCGGCCCAGCCCGCCGCCGCGTCTCTGGAGACGCCGTCTTCCTCCCACGGCCGCCGGGCCCCGGAAAGGCGCGAAAAGCCACTTGGGAAGCCTCTCGCTCACCTCTGACCCCGCCCCGAATCTCGCGCGCCTTCCCCGCCCTCCGCGGGCGCGCCACTCCCACCCGCCACCACCCACCTGTGCGGGCCCTCGGCCGCCCCATGATTGCGCCGCTGACTTGGCTGTAATGCGACGTGCCGAGCTCGGCTCGGCGCCGCAGACTGCGCGCCCGCCCGCCGCTCGCTCCGCAAGCCCCCTCGGCCGCGTTGCGCCGCAGCCCCGCCGACCGCCTGTTCCCGGCTCCCGCACTTCCGACTGGCGCGCTGGGCGGGGCCGGGCCGGGCCGGCCGGCCGCGGGCGGAAGTG